CTGTTGTCTGAGATCTTTGATCTGCTTGTTGAAGTTTGCACCAGCAGCAGCAACCAAGGCTTTCACCTGACATGTGGCGCATGCGGGGCATTGGCCGGTTACTTGAGATTCTTCGGACATCCACAACCACTGAAGTGCTACGCAGGTCTCCCGCGGCCACTGGTTCCACGCCCCCCCACACCCCAGTTTTTCGCCTTGTGCAATTCTGCCCCGAAGGTATCGTCGGTTGCCTTGCGATTTGATGCAATTTGGATCGTGGAGAGACGGCATGAGGTGCTTCACCGTTTCAGCCTTCCATTTGACTTAGTCGTTGTGCTTCGGTCGTTTCTTTTGGCTTGATCCTTCCCAAGATATTGATGCTCCAAATAAAAGTCTCGTCTATTAACTTCAAGCAGATCTGACAGTTGTATGCATTAGCAGCAGGTCAATGAGCATAAAGAGTCAATGCCTGAAGCCGCTTGGGGATCTCTTCCGGCCTTGATCAAAGTAGGTCGCTCGCGTGCGGATTCGCGCATGTCGGGTCGTCTGGCAGTTGGGAGACCTACTTGGGCCATGCCTCTTGGGCCATTCTGGGGAGACATCGGGAGACCTGCTTTAGCGATTGCCAGTGATCATGCCCTGATCCACAGCAGCTCACCCCAAAGTATAGCGCCTTGCAAGTTTTTGTAGGTCTTTTTCCATTGCCTCGACCTTGTCAGCCACTTTCAGCCAGAGTCAGTCAGTTGTGCAGAGTGATGCTATGTCTTGCTCAGAGGTTAGCGCATCTATTCTCTTCCGTGGCAAACAGCAATCATTGTATACCGAGCAATCTAAAGCCTAACTTCAAATTGCTTTAAGGACCCGCATGATTGTGACGTGCCTTCTCCTGCAGGGACTGATGGTTGCCATCTGCTTTGGACATTGCACTTGACAACCTGGACAAATGCTCCACTGGCACATGCAGCTTCAATAGGTTGTTCTGAAAATGCATGAAGCCTCAAAGGAAATGCCGAACGGTTTTCTCCGCGGCGCTCCAGAGAAGGTTCTGAAAGCTTGGTTGACGGGGTCATGGAGTTGTTGCCACCCTTGTCACCCTCGCGTTTGAAAGCCAGTTGGTTAGTAGCAGAGTTAGTGTTAGTAGTAGTGTTAATGGTAGTGCTGGTAGTGGTGGTAGTAATGGTGGTGGTAGTCGTAGTGGTTGTGGTGCTACTTCTACTACTACTACTACTACTACTACTACGTCTACTAGCATTGGTATTTGTATTGGTATTAGATGGCATTGGTATTGGTATTAGTATTGGTATTAGTATTGATATTAGTATTGGTATTAGTACTAGTATTGTATAGTAGCATTAGTATTCTTGCTAGTATTAGTGGTAGTAGCAGTAGCAGTAGCAGTAGCAGTAGCAGGAGTAGTAGCAGTAGTGTAGTAGTAGTAATAATAGAGTTTTAAACGCATAAAGTCAAGATCCAACCAGATGCGGCTGCTCGCCTTTCCTCCAGCTCGTTGAGTTGTTTCAACGACTCATTGGCCTCGCATTGGAAGAGCTTAGAAGACAAAGAGATCGATTGAGGATCCAAAGCTGCTCTAAATTCCGCGAAGCTTGGCTGAAGGAAGGATGGATATCCATCGTAAGCCTTCCACTTTTCTTTCAATGCATAAATGCAATTCATGGCCATCTTCACAGAAAGCTGTCCTTGTTTCTTGATAGGAGCTGCATTCCAGGGTATGGGCGGTATGGGTGTGCGGGAGCTTAAACCTGATGGTGGCCTAGCAGCCTAGCATTGGCTCGGGATAGGAAACTATTGTCTTGCCAGCGTGCTAAACCATGGTGACCATGAAAAAGGATGAAACTGATGTCAACATAGGTCAACATGGTCGACACCGGTGTGCTTCTCATTCACATGCCCAGTGCCTGGTCCCCGACATCAGCCTTTTCTATCCGAGCATTCAGTGCCTGTGCCGTCTGGAAATGTGCCAAGACCATGTCACTCACAGACCACACGGAAAAAGGACACCCAACAACTGCCCCGTGGAACCTTCTGCTTGAGCCCTGTTGATGCTGGAACCTGTTTGGAACATCTTGGAGCCTCCAGCAATTTACTGCCCTTGGAACCTCGCTTCCAGCAAAGGGGTTGTCACTGTCTAGCTCAGTAACTTGAATAAGTCTGTGGGTGGTGTCGGATGCTCTCAATGCGCTGGCCCGTCCTTCCACTGCGACATGGTGGGCACACTAGTGATATCCGCCTTCTTCTGAAGGCTTGCTGAGATCTCCTGGAAGCACAAAGGTTGCATGGCAGTCCTGACTCAGCCTGACTCATGACCAGGAGCGGTGTCGCAAACCCTTATGTCTTGGCCTTGTAATCCTTTATTGCTTCCGCAACTGCTTCCGCAACACTTACGTGCGCTGCGTTTTCGCTTACGCGGTGTTAGTTTGGAGTGCTTTCGCTTACGCGAACCTTACGCATCGGAGGTCTGTTTTGAAACAAGTTGATTCACATGCCTTTTTCCTTTCACTGCGTGGGGGTCAGTTCTCTGATGAAGTAGAGCTTGAAGATGAAGCAGAGGATGACGAGGTGGACGAAGTCGAACTGCTGTTATTTGCTTTGATGGAGTGGGAGCGTGGTCTACCTACCTTCGAATGCGTTTTCGTCTTACGCGAAGCTTCCGCGTCGGCTTTCGCGGAGCTTCCGCGGAATTCGTGCTATAAACCTCTGTATGAAAGCCTGAGGAGTGAACTGTCTGTACTTTGCTAGTTGCTTGAGATTTGCGCGCTTCGTTTCGGTGGCTGGGGTTGGCCGTGAGGCTCTTAAAATAAAGGACGCAGCTCACATGACATGCAGTACTTGGCATCCTCAAAAACTTGCTTCCGCAGAGCTTCCGCGTCGTGTAAAGAGACATACACTTACGCAGAGTCTTCCGCAATGCTCACGCGGTGCAGGTTTTCACTTCCGCCAGCCCTCTTGGAGAACAAGTGCTTGATAAAAGCTTTAGATGGAGGTTTTTGTCGCTCCTCTTTTGGAGTGGAGCTTAGCAATGGCCCTCTATTGGAGGTCCACTTTGAAGACTCCATATGACACTGCTTCACCAACTCATGGAATTTTAGGCTAAACAGCTAAACTTCCACGATTTCTGTCAAGCACCCAATGTTAGACCCAATGTGAGCTATTTGTCAGATCCTTTGAAGAAAGCCTCTCCTGAAGTCGCACCAGGGTGCTCACTGTATTCTGCTCGTTCCGCCGGGCAACCTCGACCGCCACTGTCTCACGGAGGTCCTCAAACTTGACATGGTCCACGTCTGGTCCATAAGGTGGTCTACTTGTGTTCACAAGCTGGTCTTCATTTTGTACATGATGCTTCACAATTTTGTACATTGCCGACAGAATTGCCTCGCTGGCGGCGCTGAGGTTGCTGGAAGGCAAAACAGTATGCAAAAGCTTTCTCCAACAGCACTGTCCTGGCCAACCAGCTTTTGGAGCTCCTGCCACGCGCAATTTTCTCGTTCTTCAGAATGGGAAAGGTCTATCTTTTTATTTGGCTCTGGATAGCAACTCTTGGAAAAGTCTTGTGCCCTGCATCCCTTGTTTCCAGGCATATCCATCTCTGGCCTGCAACTGCAGTTGCTGGTGCTCTGTGGTGTTGTGAATCGATCGAATCAGCGGAGAGATGTGGTACTCGAAGTACTCCGTGCAGAGTCCTTCAGAACATGTTGGCCCTCAAAACAGGAGCACCTTCCGAAGCTTCATGAAGGACTTTCAAGCGATGCGACACGAGCCCTTCCGAAATCAATCTGCTTTGCAGCCCAACTTTGGACCCTTCAAGCGGCACCTCGAACAGCTGTGCTGAGGTCGACTGTGGCACGATGATGATCCTCTTCTTCTCCATCACCTGGTTCAGCAAATGCAATCGGAACCAAATCTCCCAAACCAACAACTATCTAAACAACATTAAACAACCCAATTTCCAAACTTCCCAGTTCCGACTTTGCTGCTTGAGGCACCAATGAAGAAATTCCCATCAGTGTCAGGTCGGCTGTACCATTCTGCCAGTGTCCTGGTTTTGTCCTTCAGGCAATGGACATGAGTGGATACAACCCTTCAAATGAAAGGAGAATCGTGCAAGAGGACTGTGTGTGGCACATAGAAAAGCATGTCCGAAAATATCTGGTGCTCCTTGTAGTGGAACTTGGCCCCTTCTGTAGCATCCTAGTGAGGTAGAACAGGTCTGGACAACAAACTGCTATTCTGACTAGCCGAAAGCAAAAAGTAAATCACCAGCTCATCCGAAAAAGTATGAAAAAAGTCAGGCCTCAACATGTTTAGGTGCCACAGGTGGATGGTTCTCCGAGGGGTGTGCCTCTGCCTGTGGAGGTTCTGAGAGTCACGAGATCTTGCGCGTTAGTCTTCTGATTAAAACAGGGACAAAGAAGCGGGCGCCTTCACCGGAGGACGTGTCCAAACTTGACCAGCTGGCACTGGAGCACCTGTCACTTGAAAGAAGATGCTAGGGGGAATCCGGTATTTCGTTGCTATGCACGTGATGCCGGTATATGGACTATGGACTTTGGATATATTTAAGAATCACAATTCACAAAAATCATCTGCAGTATGTAACTTGTTCAGATCGTTGCTTCCACCCTTGAATCTTCACGGGGCTAATATGCCCACACGTCTAAAGTCCCCCGGCCTTTGCCGTACGGGAGGTTGTACATAAACGGCGGTGGCCCAGGGTAGGGTTGATGGCCGCCCTTTGCCCACATGGCGAGCTCGTTCGGACAAAGGTAGACAGGCTTTATGACAAAACGTAGCGAAGGAAGTTGGCACTATGCTAGAAGTGCATGGTGTCAAGTCAAGTACGCTAGTTGGCACTATGCTAGAAGTGCATGGTGTCAAGTCAAGTACGCTTCAGGCACGTTTCTCTCTCTTTGGCTGCGAGCCAGTTCTAAACAGCAGCTGGCATTGCAAGAACAGAACACATCTGGCTGGTCTTGGCGATGGTTCGAAACCAACAGCAGGCGCACTCCCCCAGTGGCACATGGAATGGTCTGGCCTGACTTCATGGGTTGAGGACTGGATTATGCACATTAAACCTAGAAGTACGGATGAAGTTTCTAGACACCGTTGGCTGGAGTGAATTTCAGTGCTTGCATGGTTGCTTTAGGTCTGAGACTCTCTTCCGTAAATCAACCTATGTCCTGGTGTTTCTTCTTGTAGAAACACGCATCTTCTGGTTCTGTGCAAGTCATGCATGCATGAGTTTAAAATGGTTCGACAATGGTATCCCCCAACACTGCCGGATATTCTTTGGGCAGCATGAGGACTGAGAGCCAGGCTAGGCCAAAGTCAGCAATCTTCAGTCTCAAGTGCTGGTCGATGAGGAGATTCTGCACGTGGGTAAGAAAGTTGAAGTTGAAGGAAAGGCATTGGCAGATTGGCAGGGCCCATTTTAGTCAACATTGAAACCTTTGCTCCAGTGGCAGCAACACTTCGTCATCTCTTTTGTCGTGAACTGGTTTTGATTGTTGACGACGAGTCCCTTGCATAAAAGTATTTGTTGTTGGAAGTCCATTGAAAAGCAGGTTGCATACAAAGGCTAGATGAGAGCATTGCCTGTGCAGGGATATGCAAGACTCAAAGACAAAAGGATGGAAGTAACCACCCGCAAAAGATTTGTAGACAGAAAACAATAACTGCGTATCGCTTGCAAAAATGCAAGTGATACATGACAAAGAAGATTCTTATATGTATCCTGTATATCACATACATCATCGTTTATGTCGTCTCAAACCTCAATGTCGATGACCCCCACGGTCCCACGTACGTCCCACATCACACGGTCCGACGCCTGCGGTTTCAGATCACGATGCAGGATGCGGCTGGCGTGGCAGAACTGCACCCCTTCGAAAAGCTGCAACCTTCGCCCGGGGTCACGGGAGTCGCAAGCGTCGCCCTCCAAAACGAACTTTTTGGTCAATATATGTCAATATCTTGATTACATCTGCCAGCATATGAATGGAAACCTGGCGGTCACGCACAGAGTCTAGCCAAGCTACGCAAAATTCCTCACCGCCGCAGGCGACAGCTTGTTGCTCATGGAGCGCATGTACCTCTCATGTGGGACCAAGAGGCATTCCTTCCTCTTGACAGACCCATATTTCAATTGTGTGCCTAAAACCAATGTCCAGTTCCCGATGTCATGGTCGTTCTGTGAATGCCCAATCTTTCTTGATGCACACCCCAAGCATGCAAGCTCTTTAAGCTTGTGCAACTAAACAACTGCACAGGTCCTCAGTAACGAATCTTCTTGCTAGTCCCCAGACCGCTGTGCTCGTCGAAGATCGGCAGCTGAGCAAATCAGGCCTAGAGGATATGGGAGATTGGACAGGATTCGAAAACAATGGTGAACGGGGATGAACAAAAAGCAAACACCTCATCGCATCCTGGGAAGACAAAAATAAAGCTGGTTATCAGTGTGACAGTTATCAAAGTGATGGTTCCCAACAGCTTCCACTGCTTTCACGATACAAAATCTGCATCTAAACCGAAGCCGTCAAACTTACAAGTTTAACAGCATCTTTCTTGAAGCCCTGCTACATATCTGTAGCTATCATTCGTCACTCTTTGTCCACGTACTCGACCAAACGCCTGCAGCACTGTGGAAGGCGCTGATGCCAGGTACAGAAGGGAGCACCGCCCCGAACGGCCCGTGGTCTTGCTGTGGAGGACCCTCCGCGACGCCTGAAATTGCTCGCACTGGAGTTGCAAGGAGCCGAGGCCTCTTAAACTGAAGCCTGGCAGAGGGCCCCAGAAGGCTTCCTTCCATGTCTTTGAAGTCTGACACTTGGAAAGCCTCTTCAACTTGTCCCTGTGGCATCATGCTTCTTGGCCGTCTAAATGCAGCACGGGCCTGTGCGCCAAATGCCGAGAATTCGACAGGCTCAGGCGGCTCAGCAGCCGCTGGCTCAGCAGCAGCTGGCTCGGCTGACACTGGTTCAGGTTCAGCCTCTTCCTCTGGATCAATTTCAACAATCTGCAGAGCAGACGTGTCCAAGGAAGGGGCAGCTTCTCTCAAAGATGGCACGGCATCGGAAGGAGGATGTGCCATGTCTGCTGCATATTCTGCGTCTGTTTCTGCCTCTGCATCTTCCACACAAATCACGAGGTTTTCCAAATGCTCATTCTTGTGCGAAGCAGCTGCAGCCTGTGAGGAACCCGGCGCAGTCAGGGTGTCCAAAGCGGGACAAAGCTCCCTTGCTGCGTCCCAGCTCGATCGTTTGCTAGCCACTTGCCACAGCTCGAAAACGCCATCCACTCCTTGTGGCAAATTTCGATGGAAGTCCAGGTCATCCAGCTCTATTGCCACAAGAGCCATACAAGCTCACAAAAGCTCACAAGTTCTCGCATACGAGAAGTCTCTAGTGTCAGTTGAACAAGTCAGTCTCAATGTGTCTGTACATGGAGGCAGCATATGAAGAGCTGCACATGTTTTGCCACAGATGTAGTAGTTTCTGGTAGCTTGAGTATGCTTCATGCTCAGTTTTGATGTGTTGCCGTATTCCATCCACTTACCTTTAACCTGTGTGAACTACGCGGCGGCAGGAATCCACTGTTCTCCGTAAGGACGCCAGGAATCCAGGAATCCAGGAACTGCGAGAAGAGCGAAAGTCGAAGTTTCGACAGTCGAAGCAATACTTGTTGTTTGTATTGTCTGTCTCTGTTGGTTCAATATCAATCCAATCCCAACGCATATGTATTTCTGGCAGTCTAAGTTGCCGGAGATATGCAGGATCATGTTTGAAACACTGTGTTTAGGCCGTCAGTAACAGGAGGCTGCTGCTCCATTGTTCAACTTGTCCAATTCTTGCAGGATGGAAATGTAGACCGTCACCACTCATGTCAACATGCAAAACCGGTGTGAGCATCCCAAAGAGCACCGCTCTGTCGATTTGGGGTGCTGAATATATTCATATATATTCTCTAGCAGGTTGGGAGACCCACATCATCCCACAAAACATATGATATGACACGAAGATTGGAGATGATTGGAGTGATTGTTGAGGGAGCTGCTTATATGCTTCAATGCATTGGCATTGTATGTAGTGCTACTGATAAGAGCCAAGGAGTCATTGTAGATTGCCTTGACACTGGCCCCGTTCAAACATGCGCCCTCTAAGCCCACAAAACCACTTAGTGACTGGTGTAGAGTAGTGACAGTAGTGATGACAAAAGTCAATGAAACTCATAAGCTTTGGATATAGCAGTCCATGTAAAAATCAGTTGTGTCTTCAGCCACAGCGGCAACGTTTCTGGCGGTCGGCACTTCTTCAGATCGTTCTCGACGAACTCAAACACTAAGATTAACCTGCGACATGGAACTGAAGAACAACCTGCACCAAAACTGCAACTTTTGCGTACATCGACTCTCAGCCTTCTTGGGAATGTTTCCCCTCAAGCGTCTCTGCTTCCCAAGTTCTGACAGGAAGATGGAGAACATCAAGTCTGCCGAAGGCACTTGCTCGGCTTGTAGAAAATATTGAGCAGCTTCACAATGTTCTGATGATCCTTCAGTTCCTGCCCAGCAAGGCACAGCTGAAGCAAGCTCAGGTGGTCAATTGCATAAGCCCTAAGCAACACTTCCTTCAAGAGTGCAATCTCTCGAAGGGCAGTGCTGGGCATTCCATCTTCCTCAGCATCACAGTGTGAAGCATGGCTGGTGCTTTTTGGCTATCGGCGAAGAAAAACACTGAGCTCCACTCAGAGCCCTCAATTTTCATCTGCTTCATGGCAACCAACTCTCCAGTACGAAGGGATCTGGCTTTGAAGACCTGACACCAAATCGCTTGGCACAGGCCGCACAAGCTATTGACATCTTCCCGGAGCAACACGGAACAAGAATACAAGGCAAGTTCGGGTGAGAGCATGTCAGCCCACCATCCGCCCCGTCGCACGTACGACAATTGCCTTTCCGTATGTCCCCTCTCCTAAGAGGGAGGGCTCCACACGTTCGTACCTGGGGCAACAAAAAAGAGGCGTCGGCTTCCAAAGAGTTGCAAAGACAAGACGTCCAAAGAAGAACAAAGAACAAACACAGAATGAGCATGCCAAGACTGCATACGAGTAATATGCTTCCCTGAGAGGTCGGCTGGCTCTCAAAGACTCTTTCTGCCTCATCCAGATTGTCATCTAAGTCCGCCATGCTCCTGGCGATGAAGGTCCAACAAGCGGGTCGGTAGGTAGGAAAGGGGAGGGGAGGAAAGAGAAGTAGCATCGTGGGTGCATTCAGAGATAAGTAGTGGCAGTTAACATCAACCCTCACCGGTCCTGTGCATGGGATTTCTTCCCATTAACATTTCATCTAAGCAAACCAAATTGTCCAGAAATTGAATTCTCGAGCCAATCGCCACAGTGAGGATACAGTCAATGAAACAGTACGTTTGACTGGCTACTACAACACAAGTCCAGACTGACTTGGCACTTCGGTTGACCCATGCATTTGTTTCCAGCCACAGAAGGCCGTGCTCTGCCTACTCCACGTCAAGCTCCGCCTTCAAGAATGAACAGTATAGATCTACAATCAACCGCAACGAGAACATCATACCACTCCCAGAAGCAACTACTTTGAACAGCCCCTTGGAGATTGACACGGGAAAAGCTGTACTCTTGCAGCTTTCAGCTCTTGAAGCGTCATGCATTGTGATATTCTCGCAAAACGGCTTGAGCGAATCAGGTGCTTCACATCCAGGAAATGCTTTCGTTGTTCATATGATACATATGTGTAATATGTGAGCAATTCATCGCCGTTTTGCAAAATGCTAGTTGACAAGCTCTATCTCAGCACAGCCTGGCTGCAACAAGGCTAGGCCTTCATGAGAATGTCTTCTGAGCATTGATTTTGAAAAGAAATTGTGATGGGTTCCTTGTGATCGCAACAGTTCATTCATGTTCATTCCTTAAACTCTTGTGAACCGCCACGACAGGCGCGGTCACGAGGCGAGACTTTTCTCCCAGCGAGCCATGAAGAAGCCGTCAGTCCCATCCACGTGAGGCAGCAAGGTACGGCAGTGCCGACGGCAGTGCCTGGAAACGAGAATTGAAAGGACATTCAACTGGCATGTGACACAATGTTTCTACTTCTTCAAAGGTGGTTTGAAGAAAAAATACTGTAACATGAGAAACATTTACACTGTATATAGTATATAATATATAGAAATAACATGTTATTAACATTGTTTAACCACCAGCAAGTCCAACTACTAACGCTTTGCTTGCTTGCTTCCCTCAAGAAGCAATTGGACACCATGGGAACTCAAGCGCCACCATATTTGACTACCACATAGCTATTCCAAACTATATAATATACTACCGGCATGGGAAGTTCTTCTAGCTACAACCATCCCCAGGTCCTCTGCTAACTCAGCACCCGCCAAAACAAGTGGCAGGACTATCCAACATCCTTGTCTGTCCTTGTCTCTGCTTGTCGAGATTCAGCAGTTCTTTCGAAATAACCTTTTGCACGAGCGTTCGTCTAAGGTAGCCTTCTCTCCAAGAGCAAGTATCAGATCTTAACTTTTTGTCTCTGTTCGAACACATGTTTTCCCGCTTCCACGGTCTTGCTCCTTCACACTTGGCCTTAGACTATTCATTATTTTTCACCAGCAAGTTTTTCCAGTTTCTCCAGCCACCATCCTTTTATCTTTCTCACATCTTGTCTTCTGTCTTGTCAGGTTTCTTGACTATCTTGACTTGATCCAATCGTTAGTCCTCCTTTTAGTCGCTTCCCCTTCTACTGTTCTTTCTAATGACATCGAAAGAACATGAAAGAACCGGTGGTCTCTTTTGGGAGTGTCCGTCCCACACATCACCAGCCTCTGAAAGGGCCATGGGAGAAAGCTCTGCCCGGCGCGCGCTTCAAAAGCCTCTACGACTTCGCTGTTCTCCACGTGCATCAAAGAACAAGTGGCATAAACCAAACGGCCACCCGGACGCACCAGTTGCGAGGCCTCTTCCAAAATTGCAAGTTGGAGTGCTGCAATCTGCGACAACTCTTCAAACTTCAAGGCCCAGCGTTGAGATGGATGTCGTCTCAAAACTCCAGAGGACGAACAAGGGGCATCGACCAAAACCACATCAGCCCCACCAGAAATCATTTCAGGCCCTGGTTTGCTGCTTGGCACTTCCACCAGACCGGATGCGCCAGCGCGCTTTGCACGAGCACCGTGCAGTTGTTTTCGCAGATCCTCTTCGACGTCCCAGGCATACACACGGCCCGTGGGCGCAACCAAGGCCGCCAGCAGCCAAGTCTTTCCGCCACGACCTGCGCAGTAATCCACGACACACTCTCCAGTCTTGGCTTCGGTGGCCAAAGCTAACAACTGAGACCCTTCATCTTGGACCTCAAAAAGACCTTCACTGTAACCAGGCAACTGCCAAACTCCTCCTCCAGGTGGACGGCCATCTGGAAGCCAAAGACCATAAGGGCTCTCACCTGTGGGGATGCTGCGTATTCCATGCTGCATCAGCATTTCCATCAGGGCCAAGCGACTGGTGTTGAATGTGTTCACCCTTAGGGTCACCCGAGCTGGACGAGACATGGCACGGCCCAGGGCGAAGGACGACCAAACGCCGAACTGCTGGAGCCAGCTTTCCGCCATCCAAAGGGGTAGAGACCAAACAACTGCAAGGCGTTGAGCCAGGCTTACGATGCTCACAGCATTCTCGTGAGCCTCAAAGAGTGGGGCTTGGACTGCCTGTGACACTCTTTGCTCATCGATCTCACTGAGATTCTCACATCTGCGCGTCAACTCACCTTTCTGACCTTTCTCTTCACGGTCTTCTCCCTCTTCTCTCAACTCCCGGCGGACAAAGAGCTCCAAGAGCAATTCCGCCCAAAGAGAGCCTCCATGCTCCGTGGAAGCCTCTCCGGTGCTCCGTGTGCTCCTTGTCTTGTCCAGGAGATGTACCAAACGTCCGTGGAAGACGGCAATGCCCAGGACACGCTGTGCGATCGCCGCTCGCGTGGCCTGGTTCAAGGCCGCGTGTTTCGCCCGCATGGCTTTCCGCAGGGCCTTCTCCACGTCGCTCCCCGGGGCGTCAAGCCACAGACGAAGTGCGGCCAAGGAGACGTCTCGCACCAACTCTCCGGGACCTGAGACTGAAAAAAGAACGGATTGTGTTCAACAAACCAAGGAAGTTCACTGGAAAGAAACAGCACACAAAATCAAAGAGTTCATAGATATTCATAAATAATCCGAGGAGAACCCTTTTCATTTGCATTCTGTGAGATCTACCTTAGCTAAGATGGTGAAACAGAATTCCACCGAGTGACAGGGTGCCGAAGCTGGAGGTGTTTGGTTCCCACCATTTTCGTCTGTACACATGGCATGTGGAAAACAAGTCCTATATTTATGTGAAATGATCCAAAACAGCTGAGCAACAAAGACTTTAATGCCATGTTTACAAGGACAATCACTCATGGACTTCAAATCTGATGTTCAAGTGCTCTTCTGCTGGCTTGAAGTTGAGGGTATTCATGAATGTGCAAAGAGCCGCTGCTGCACTCGCATCAATCAGGGCATCCTGTGTATATATAGGTATGTATATATATATATATCATGCAGGATCATCCGTGATAAATCAAGATCAACAGCCTAAGCCATCATCACAGCAGGCACTTCCTGGCCAAACACCCTGCTTGACCTGTGAACCTTGGGAGCTCCAATACTCACAGTTATCGGATAGTACCAAAGAGTCAAACTCAAACTGTTTGGGAATAGTAGTAACAAGAAGCTATTAGAAACAAGTGCATCGCTAGTAGTAACAAGTGCCTTACTAGTAGTTAACAAATAACACAGGAGCCCCAAGTTCGTTCCTACCGAGCTCATGAAGCTGGAAGCGACGCAAACGGTCGTCGCCTCACCGAAGCACAGAGTTCCGTGAAAGCGGGTCGTTGCTTTGCAAAATTCCTCAATCCGCAAAGAGTCGTTGCAACGCAGAAAAGACACTCGAATTCCTTTCTGCGTTAAGAACCCGAATTCCTTCAAAAAGCCCCCCGACGTCCTGGACTCACAGTCAATTCCTTTATAGCCCTCATGTCTAGGTTACCTGTGTGAAGACATCAAATTGAACGCCAGAGCACACGACACCAACGCCCGGTGCTACCAAGCTGCCAGGAACATCCGACCTCCGACCAACGGAGACGAAGAGTGGCTCCTGACAAGATCGGCATACAGCTGGGCCTAAGCGCTCAAGAGTTTCCCGAACATCCTGAGGCCAGGCTACAATCTGTGCCGACATAGCAACGAGTAAAACCCTGAACAAAAGCAGTAGTCCAGAGCATACTTCAGCCTTCAGTCTTTTCAGAGTCAAGTCTTTTGAAGCAAAGTCCTCAAAACCACCTACCGCAACCGTGGGATACCGTGGGTCTCCTGCAACCACCTCCGTGGGCTGGGCGCTCGTGGCCGCTGTTCTCTTGTTTGGGAGGATGCACTCGACGGGACTGGATGCGCCTGGGATGTGGCAAGCTGAGAAAACTGGACGAGAACGCTCAAGTGACGATACAAACAAGTCACTAAGGACAGAAGTCCCACAAAAGATAGACATAATTACAGCTCACAAAAAGGAGAACTGCCCTGGTCTCGGCCTTGCCTCCAGATTGCCTTTCGCCTCCAGCTGATCCACACGATCTGTCAAGGAAGTTAAGGCCTTTGCAATGGTGCCTTGGTAGCTGACCGCAAGGATCATATGTTCTTTGTGTCAGCACGTGGTGCAAATCCCAAATGGGAACTAATCATAATCCAATTGACAAACTCAAAATCAGAAAGAACCTGCAACGGAAGTCCGTGTGTTTGGGGAACTATCCGGCCAATGTGAGCTTCACAACAGCTCAAATGAAGCTCCGGCCTAACTCAGCGCCGAATCGATCTTCCGGATTGGCGTTTGCAAGCTCATCCACTTTTGTGCATAGCCTCAAGTTCTTTCAACATGAAGACGCCTATCCCCATGAAGCACTGATTCAACTTCAACCTAAAGACGCTGCATCGATGTTGAAAGCTAACCCAACCGCTTGAAAGACACAACAAAACTCAGAGATAGAAGATAGGTGAAACACGTCCTCCAAATAAACTTCAGTGTCCCTTTCAAAAAATCGGGGAAACAATTGAATCATCCAAGGGCTCCGTGTCCGTAGTTTCTTTGCTATCCTTGCTATTTGCACCTTTAGTACCAGCTTACTCTTACGACCGCCTACCCGGTCCTACCCGATGTCCGCAGCTCTCACAGATCTGACAAGATGCATGCTCAAGGCATCTGCCATTGTTGCTACCTCCCGACGTGCTGGTTAAAGTGAAATCACTGCTTCAGCATTAAAATCAGTGCCTCTCAGGTCACAGCTTGTGACAGTATTTTCCTGTTGGTTTTGGTGTTCTGTGCCCGCAGCAGCTCTTCAAACCTGTCCGGCCTCGTTCTCTTCACCAACTTTGGCTTCGATCAAGGCTTTCAGCTCTTGCAAGTCCTTGGCCTATGCAGGTTTGGGAGTCTTCAATTGAATAGAGAAGTCATTATTGGTCCTTTTTGTGCCTTGATCTTTTTCTGGACCTTTCTTCTTTTCTTCACGTCGTTGTTGGAAATCACTTAATTGCATCAGTCCCAAGATTTCCCACACTGGCACCTGCTGCTGCTGGCACTGCTGAATGGGCTGCAGCATGGTGGCAACAGCCTGAAGGACATGCAGACAAGTTGCTGGAAATTATCCACGAAGAAAGACACTAGAAGGACATCTTCTGTTCCGAGAGCTGAGTACCAAGACAAGAACAGTGTGGATGGGTAAACCAAGACAAGCGAAAACATCCCTTAGAGAGATTTGAAGACTGGCCCTTCAAGAAGCATCCCTTCAGAATTTCAGGAGTCCGCCACTTTGTCCATGGAGCCCTGAGATCGCATCAAGCGGCAATGTTTGTCACTTGTTTACCAATTCTCAAAAAATATATCACCTGTTTACTAGTGCCCCAAGGAATGTTGTTTCTTGATGCCGTACAAGGACGCTACTAGGGGCTCGCTACTAGGAACAAGAAGCTACTAGGGGCTCCTGGCCGTACTACTAGGAGCAAGGACGCTTCACTTTTTTGTCACAAGTGAATAACATCTCGTGTGAGATCGACTGAGTCGTCAGCGACATGCTCTGGACAAGCCTTGCAACATGCAGCGAAGTGCTTTGAACAACTGCGATCGTAATCGTAACTCATGGGCGCCTGGTACATGTTGGCAACACCCTGCGCAGAAGAGACGCAAGAATTTTATTGCTGTGGAATCTTCAGGTGTTGCATGACCCATACCTGAAGTCGATCTGCACTGGTTAGGATGTCTCCTATTTTGACCAATCCATTGAACCCACCCCACCTGCACAGAGGCTGCCAAGTCCTTTTGCTGCGCTTGCAGCAATGCCAAAGACCCCTCCAGGTTGCTCAACTTCGAAGCCTGGATGACTCAAAGCGTCTCTAAGAATTAAGTGAACTGGTCGATGCATGTCAATGCAGTGCCCGCAAGTGTTATCAGGATCAAAAAATATGTGCGGCGCGCGGTGCCGTCTTCAAAAAGACAGACCCAGATAGCTAGGCAGAATCCCGCGACCTGTTGACATGCGACTGGCTGGAACAAAAATGCACGCAGCCTGCACGGCCAGCTTACGGCACCTCCACAGCGCGCACAATCAGCTGACACCAGCACCGGTGCGCTTTGCCAGCTGACAACACCGGCAGCGGCGCCAGCACCCGACCAGCACGGCACCTGGCACCAGCACCAGCCAGCAACCTGTCTCCACCACGTGCACAGCCAGCTCACAGCACCAGCACCAGCACCGGCACCCGGCACCCGGCACCCAGCACCAGCAACCTGTCTCCACCACGTGCACAGCCAGCTCACAGCACCAGCACCAGCACCGGTACCCGACACCCAGCACCAGCACCAGCAACCTGTCTCCACCACGTGCACAGCCAGATCACAGCACCAGCACCAGCACCAGCAACCTGTCTCCACCACGTGCACAGCCAGCTCACAGCACCAGCACCAGCACCGGCACCCAGCACCAGCAACCTGTCTCGAAAGCGCGCACGGGCAACTCATTGTTATTTGAAGTAAGAACCCTATAGCTCCGCTATCTGGGGAAAAAAATATAAGACCAGAAACTGCTGGGATCAACTAGGTGTTTCTCGAATCAGGTACAAAATATTCAGAGAAATGCGGACAAACGGCAGCAGCTGGCAAGCAAAAGTCCGATCTCTTGTCGGTATTTTAGTTGCTGCATACCCGCTGCTTACTGCACTCTGGACTCAGCATGGTACTGTCTGAGTGACTTGTGGGATCTTTTCGCCTCAGCCAGCATGCTGCGTTCAGAAAAACACACGAGGTTTCGGTTGAGTCAGACGGCGGAATTGCTCCGCGATACGGAGATTGAAATCATCGCTAGCTAAATCGCGGATTACGACGAACTAGCGCAACAACGCTCCGACCCCCCGGCGAACCATAAGAGTTTGTTTCCGGCGCGCGATCACAAAGAACATGTCAAGCATTGAAGAAGACCCCTGTCCAGCTGCCGCGTGAAGCGACACGTGAACCGACGCACAGCGCACGGTGCAGGGCGGTCGTGCAACCGAGGTGCGAAGCTCTTGTTGCATCGTCTCCAAAAGCAACTGCTTTTGCGCCATGGCGCTGAGACCCTCGGCCACCTGCGAGACCGTCGAACGAGATGAAACCTGAAGGATCGAAGGAATAGCGACAAAAAGGAACAGGCCGACCTCCTACTTTTTTGAGTAGGCACCTACTCAGTTAAGTATGGCAGTGAGCTACTAGGCTAAGTTAGCTTCTAGCTAGGACGCAGGACAGCTCACGCTTCTTCAAGGAAGTCGGGCGGGGAGCTTCCTTGAAGAAGCGCTTGCACTAATGATTTGGTTCCTAGATGTTTAGGGAAACTTAAGTACCTGACTTTCCAGAAGCCCTTGGCCGCTTGGCTGCCGTGTTGGCCTGGCGCTTCTCCGCCTGCAAGACTTGGAACTGGCTCTGCAAGGTGTGAACCGCTGCAACCAGGTCCTGTCACAAGGCGCATTGTGGAGGTGATCCACCAAAGGATGAGCTCTGCTTGGGTATCCAAAGGTGAAGCCTTGGGCCTAAGGCTTCGATTATGTTTACGATGTTTTGCCGCATAGTTTTGCCGAATAGTTAATGCGTTCCATGTCATCCTGGATCTTGAAGTTTCAAAGCTTGTGGCTGCAGTCCCGCCTGGTCCTTGGCTGCTCCCTGGCAAGGCTAGAGGCATGCAAGGGTTGAATTCGCATTGACGAGGAGTATAGGAGCAACAGATTGAAGCAACAGTTGTCTTGTTCTGTCTGTCTTTCTTTCTCTTCGTCTCAACCTTGCAACACAAAGACCTGGTCTGTTGAGAGATGCTGACAAGCTGTTTGGACTTATGGCACCGATGCCCCTCCTGGCTGGAGTCTGCCGAGTGGGTTAAAGCCTCAAGGACCAGCGGTGACAAGCATCAAACAGAACCCGTTTACGGATTTCTTACAGAGTCTTTATGGAACCAGTAAAACAGTGCTGTGCCCATTATAACTATATTTACGGAATTCTTACAGAATCTGTGGGAATAAGTAGAACAGAACCCGTTTATAAAATTCGTATGGAATCTTTAGGGAATATGTAGAGCGGAACCTATTCGCAGAATTTCTACAGTATCCTACGGAATCTTTGTGGCACGGCACACGTAACCAAAGACCTAGAGACGAACTGCTCGACCCACATGTGTGTGAAACTGCATCATCACTTGAATCACTTGTATTCCTTGAAAACATGTGCAATTTCAATGGCGTCCACACCTAGAATCTAGAGTCCTGATCATTCGCTTACGGAGCATCTGGAATGTTGGCTTGGACATGGATTAACACCTGTTTTCCTTGCGCTGTTTCTCAGAGCAAATGGTGCGGGTGGTTATCGTTGCGAAGCGACCTGAATATACCATGTCGCGCGTTTGTTGAAAGAAAGATACAGCTCTTGTTGTGCATGCGGAGCTTCTTTTCGGACATGATACAATTCTTGTCAGGAATAGGACTCACACTCCCATTGTCAACACCATTTTTCGGGATGCTGCTCTTTTTGAGTGTTTGCTCTCTTCCTTTTCAGGTCATTGCACCTGGCCTCCATCTTTCTCAGCATCTGGTTGAATTTTGCCTGGCCAAAGCGGCAAAGAGATTGGACGCATACCAAACAGGCCAAACAGGAGTGACAGGATCACCATGACTATGACGAACAACTAAAGTAACTAAAGGCGTCATACGACAATACCACACAGGAGGACATCACAACGAATCGGATGTCCAAGTCCTGAAAATCACAGATCGCCGAGCATCCCAGGGCCTCTGTGTCTTTCAGACGAACTACTGTACAAGCTCCGTTCTCCTGGCGAAAAGCCCCTGAACCCTGCCCCTAGCATCAGCAAGCAAGCTCAAGAAACACGCTGCCTTATCAAGTGTGCGAACACTTCGGGAATCTGCCAGAAGAGTGTTGCAAACAGACTCCACTTCCCACAATTTGAGCCAGCTGACTTTGACAAGCACATCCACTTTGCTATTGCATCCGCGTCATACCGTCATACTTCCAAGGTGCTTACATTCCACGACGTCTAAAGGGCATAAGCAAGGATACAAAGGACCGCAGCGTAAACGACAAAAGAACTAGATAATTCCTCCGGGTCGGCACTCCTTCTCAGCTTCCAATGTTCCACATCTATCCCCGATCTCCTCCATGCCTCGCCTGACAAAAGGATGTCGAATTCTGTATACAGCATACTCAGCATACTGCCACAGTATGTCATGTACGTCCACATGTGCTCATGATGCTGCTGAGGGCTTGAAAGTGTCAAGAAAAAGTAAATGGGCGCCTTAGGGCATTAAGCATGGCATCTGTGGCGGAGTCCGTGGCATTCCTGGCTTCTGCCACCTGATCCAAGCCCGTTGATTTGGTCAGCATGTCACAGCGCGGGGAAGAGGACAAGACACGCAAAAAATCGAAAACATGTCAAACCACTGTCCATTCCGAGTTCATCCGCTGCATTTTGGAATCTGAAAATGGGCTGCCGTCGAGTCAAGTTCAACTACGGCTTTCCGTTGCTGATTGACATGCTGAACGTGCATCCGATTACATCGCGCTCAAAGCAGCGGATTGGGCGAAATCTGTAGGCATGCATGCGACATGCCAGCAAAAAGCCAGCTCGACCACGATCAGGTACTAAAGGAATATGATGAATATCTAAAATTAGATCGGGCCAACAGAGTTCGCTTTTTAGAGAGTAGTCACGCATTCGCATACCACTGGACTCACCCGAGCGCTCAAAAAGCAAAACTCAGGCTCCGGATGTGCCAAGAAACAGGCTCCGAGCAACAGCAGCGTAACACTGGTGCTCTGCAGCAGGGCTTTCTCAGCACTTCCTTGGTGCTTCTGTTGAGTCCAAAGCCTGTCAAAAACGAGAACCACTGACAACGGTAGGGCAAATCATGCCTTCCACACGTTGCAAAGCACTAAGATCGCCATTTTCTACGAACTTTGAGAGATGTTTTACGTTAAAGCACAAATGCCATGTCAAACTGCGTCAACTCCTGTGAGCCTGCCTACTGCAGTCCCAGGTCTTCGGCTAAGCCCAATCTTCGAATCTCCTGTAACAATTAACTCTTAAGCTTTGACCAGCTTGGAGCAGTTCAGACTTTAACTGCTTTAAGTTGTTGTGTGTTCTTTCCTGCTTTTCTAGCCCGTGGCCCTGCCCCCTTACTTCATTGAGTAGGCGCCTACTTAATTAAGTAAGAGAGTACGCTACTAGCAATAGGAAGCTCCCAGCAACTGGATGCAGGACAGCTCATGCTTCTTCAAGGAAGCTCCCCCCGCCGCCCTGAAGAAGCGCTCCCACTAATGATTTGGTTCCTAGATTTAGGGAAACTTGTTCCCAAGGAGCTTGGAGAGTTTTGCCCAACTTTTGCCCAAGGTTCACTTCGAAGTCCCTTTGGCACAAGCAAGCTGGCAACATCTGGCTCCTGCAAGCTGAGGTCCCGGAGGTACCTTCGTAGGCTGAGAAAGGCATCATACGAAGGTTGTCATGTTGTCACTACTATCCTAGGCTTCAATCAGAACCACGTCACAAAGAAGTTTTAACAACACAAAGGGCGTTCGCAACGCCGTTCCTAGCGAACACCTTTGAGGATGTTTGAGGTGTATGCAATCACAGCCAAAGGTGTCCCAGTCCAAATGCGCCTGTCATGCTCCAACTCGATCCTGAACGAATCTGAAGTGCTTGGCAGATTTGGAGAATATGAAATTCCCAAGATCTAGAGAGCACAAATATCTGCAAATCTTCTCGACATTGATATGCTCTGGCTGTCATGTCCATTCTTCGTTGGATGACGTATAAGATCCCTGTGCAACAAACCAATGACCAAACCGTCTCCACTATTCGTCGCCGGTCGTCCCTCCAAGCAATCCCACCTCAGTGCACTGTTCTGCGGTCGTCTCTGGCAGTAGCCGCCCACGGCACACCAGGGCCGAGTCACTGGAGGTCCGTACTCCTCGTGGTCGTGGTCAGGGTGATGCAATAGCTTGAGGACAAACACTACCAAGATTGGCAAGTTTGGTATTCAAGTGGCAACTATCTGACTATCTGTCATATGTTGTGTTCAAACACAGCTAAGTCTGTTCATGCTATTAAGCAAAATCCATCAGTACATCAATGTAAATCATATCTGTGCTGGGATCATGTGTTCTAAGACAGCAAACTCATCTAGTCAGCGGCTATCTGGACAGTGCTCCGAGCTGGCCATGGCGTAAGGCTGCACCAAGAAGAAGGGTCCTAGACAGCGATGCCCCTTTTCTGCCCATGGTCCGACCGTTCCCTAGTAGCGTCCTTGCTCCTAGTAGCGATGCCAGGAGCCCCTAGGAGCGTCCTTGCTCCTAGTAAGGCCAGGAGCCCCTAGTAGCGTCCTTCAGTATCTTACAAATATATTATAGAGTCGTCAAGTCATGTGTCATTGTCTATGTCACTATTGTCTGTGCTGAACAAAGTCCCACCTGCTCCGTCTTCTCTGACTTCCATAATGCGACCGATCATGTGGCCTTTGCAATGCATTGCAAAAACAATGAAGGAGATGAAGTGCGAGTCCGCCTTGTTGAGGATCCTCAGATTCATTCTGCCAAACCTCGGAGAATGAAGCCATGAAAGCGTGCTTGACCGGTTCAGCGTGAGGACAACAAATTATTATATACAGATACATCTGACATTTCACGACTTGTTTCAAAGGAGAGCGCTGCATAATCTCGCAGCATCAATTCCGGAAGCTTCTCCAAGTGCAACACACTGGCCTCAGCTCGAGTCGACTCGATCCTCTAGGAGCAAGAACGCTACTAGGGGCTCCTGGGGTGGGTCCCTGGCGGTCACGAAGCGCTGCCGCACTGGAAGGGTGAAGAGCGGCTTGACCGCCTGCACCTTTGGTCCGCTTGCAAATGGAACGGTCTCAGCAGCAGGCAAGCACAAGCAAGAGCAGAGGATGCTTGCTCCCTAAATTGCGCAATCTGAAAACGTCCCAAAAGGAACATGGCATGCGCACCCGGAAATAGTTTCCCTGCTGGCCACTGTGGCCATCCAGTCGCACTCGAACTGTAGATCTTTGCGAGACCTGCCCGTCTGCTCTCAGAGCGTCTCAAGGTTCAAAGGGACTGCCATGTCCTGCCTCTAGCACCACACCGTGCTCGCCGACCTTGTAGGACTCCTCTCAAATTGGAAGTTCATGGCAACTGGAAGGATGTGGGGATGATGTCTTCAATGCTGCAACATGCTGCAACCCATTTGTGAGAACCCGTCTCCTCATGGTGCACCGGGTTGTGTCGGTGAACTTTCACCACCACTCGATCCTCGCAGGAAGGATCTGGAGCCTTTGTGGACTTACACCTGGTGTGTAAAGCAAAAACATGCAAAAACAGGAAACGTCACCGCAGAAGAGACTCACAGACGAGACTTTGTGGTGGATCTTTGTGTCAAGGAAGACTGAGTTCTGAGGTCCACGCACCAGGCTGGAAGCTAGGAATGCCAGTCATGCTGAGGATGCGATTCAGGAGCGAAAAAACGATGGTGACTTGGGTCTGATGTGTGTTTTCGACAAATCTATGAAGGGCATTAAAACTTTTAAGGAATCCTCAGATAGAGGGTATTCAATCATGTGATGGTTTGTGGAGCCCCTGGTCAAAGTGCATCCGAAATGCGGTATATAATGACAAGCTGGAGCATCAAAGAGCTGGTGGCGATGCTGCAAGAGTAGCTCGTGCAGCTGCCGGGCAAACCAACGTCAGCTGGAAACCTCCCAAATGATATCCAAAGTCTGGCCTTGCAATACTTAAACGTGGACGCACATATCAGTTCTTTCACCAAACTCATCCAAAATAGTGAGTTTCCCAAAAAATCTAGGAACCAAATGAATAGTGCGAGCGCTATCCTGCGTCCATATGTAATAGCTTACTTGTAGATACTAGCTACCTAGCTTCTACTACTAGCTACCTAGCTTCTACTAGCTACCTCTAGCTACCACCTACCTTTACAGTCTACCCTGTCACCTTAAAAACAAAATACAACAAAAACCCAAAGACTTTGAATTTCGGCCTGGCTCATAGAGCTTGTCGCGTGGTGGAGCCGCTCCTCGAGCTCCTGAACCTAGCGACAGACCCTTTGACCGTGGGAAAGTGAGTTCGGAATGGAAAAGGCCGTCCTTTTCATTGCCACTAGGGCATGTTGAAGCAAAACCAAGTGCTAGAACCCTGTTGGAAAACTCATTTCGATGGGCCAAAAGATCCAAAAGAAAAGCAGGGGAGCCTTCTCAAAACACCCCGCCTTCTGGGCCAAAGCCTCACGGCCTCGGTGCTCGATCCGATTTGCGCAGATCAGAAGCAGAACCGGAGAAAGAATCAGTGTCTTCCTTCACCCGGCCCAGTATGCTATTAGTATCTTCTTGTTACTAGTAAGGCCAGGAGCCCCTAGTAGCGTCCTTGCTCCTAGTAGCGATGCCCCTTGTTACTAGTAGCTTCTTGTTACTAAAAGCCGTCAAAAGCTGTAAAGCCCTCTTGTGAGTCTTCAATCATATCTAGATTCCCTTCTACACAATATGTGTGTGCAGGGGCTACTCATCGAGGCTGCTCTCATTGCCGGGTCGTTGCTACCACCATTGTAGTGTTTCTGAGATTGTGGTCCTTATCCTTGTGGTTGATGTTGTGGCAAGGGGTTGTTCATGATTGTTTGTTGCAACTTTTGCATCTGAGTTTAAAGCTCAAGAGACATACAGTAAAATTTCACAACCAGCCGCCTCAGTTCAAACCTCCCAAAAGAGTCTGCACGACCTCCAAATGAAAGAAGAAGGCCAATACGCAAAAATGAAAAAATAACACATCCTGGGTAGTAGGCTCATTTGCTCTTTCTTCAGTTCTGCTTGAAAGTCTGCCTGCGAGGTAGACAGCATAGAGCCTGCCGTCACGGAGGTTTAAAGCTGGGAGAAAGCAAACTTCAAAAAAGAGAAAAAGTTACAATTAGAGATGATAGAGAGAGAACACAAAAATAAGGAAACAATGTCAACAAAGGTGTGCGAGCTACTGTAATTGGAGATGTCCGGCACTCTAGATCACCGAAACTTATCAGGATTATCCTTGTGGTGAGTTGTGGTAGCATATTGATGTGCCCGTGGAGCAATGAACTGACCTTAAGTTTCCCCAAAAATCTGGAAACCAAATCATTAGTACGAGCGCTTCTTCAAGGAAGCTGGGAGCTTCCTTGAAGAAGCGTGAGCTATCCTGCGTCCTAAGCAGTAGCTACGTAAGCTGCTAGCTACCTCTCCCTACTAGCTACCTAGTTTCTATCTACTAGCAACTCCCTAACTACCTACCTCTACGGCCTACCCCCTCCCCCCAAAAAAATATGCATGTGCTTATGGTGAGAGCAATTCGCTGTATCAAAACTGTCGCTCCTGCATTGTTCGGGGCATCACCCTTGGATGCAGTCGCATCGCATCGCTCCTCACATTCGCTTGGCATGTAACAGCTAGCTGTGTGGCGAGGCTCAAAATGCAGGCGATTGCAACAAAAAGAGGAGCAACTTTCAGACCAACCAAGCAGCATGTCCGGGCTGTTGTGAAACAAAAATTGAAGTTCGTGCATTGATGTCTTGGAAAGGCGGACCTTTGATCCACCGATCATGTGATGAGCTGCTCACAGTGGTGCAAGACTGTTGGTCGACAGCTAGTGAACAAGTAAACCAAAGAGAGGAATCAATGTTGGCTGACATTGCCAATGATCCTCTTCGGAGCACAAGGCACAAGAACTTGACCAGTCTTTCGACCACGTGAGTACTAGCCGCGCTTTGATAGCACGTTTCCCTGCCAAGAACTTTCTAGCCCGCATTTCATTGCATTTCGATTACTCCTATGGAGGGCAATTCAGCAACCTACCTGCTTGGTGCGATGCGTTTCCTGGATAGACCTGCCTCGCAATGAAGCACGGCGCTTCCTGTCTCGGCACTTGTGGCCAAAGGGATTGAGTCGATCTTGGGGAAACATCGAGTCATACGAGGCGCTTCCAGAGCTGCTGTCAAGGGGACATGCCCTCAAAAGCAGCAAGCAGCGTACAGAAACATGGCAATTGGATCGCTAAAATTGTACCTTCAATTTAGTATACTGTAGTTTAGTACCCTCCCATGAACATGTGCGAAAACTGCTCCGCTTTCACACTCCTCGATGTCGGAACAGGAATGATGTTCTGCCGCAGAACATCGAGCAACGCTTCCGGACAAAGGCGGCGCAGGACTCGCTTTCTACACTTAGGTAGACGAGCAGGCGCTTAGCCGCTAGAGCTCTGTGAAGTTCGAGGAGGGGCCTTGGTGGGAGGGGCCTTGTTGATTGCTTAGTTGGTCGCAGTACAGAATTCAGTTCTATGGGACAAGTCCATGGCACTCTGCTATCCAGTCAAAGCAACATTCAACAAGAATTTCTGTGACAATCGAGCCAGATGTCCCCTGTCCACACTTTCTGAAACGTCCTAATTATATGATGTAGAAAAGGCTCTCAGCCTCCACTCAGCCTCCTGCCCCAAGTGATGGCAACCAGCGCTTGCCACTCGAAGCTGAAGCATCCTCAAGGCTAGTTCTTGCGGACAAGATTGGATTCCTTCTGATTTGACATGTGATATTTGTGCGCAATCTTTGGCAAATAATCTCCTTGGCAAATTGGTTCAGTGTCTGCGTGAAATCTTGCAAGCTCATCGTCAGCTTGTCCACACTGGCAACAATAGCATCCTCAAATCAGCGTCTGAGCAACAGGTCAGCAACATCATGTTACACATCTGCGACATTCGGTGCCTGTTTATTGGTATATGTTTATGGAGCATGTGTTTATGCATGTGGTGTGTGCTTGCTCCAATAGTGTTTCCTTGACTCAGAAGACCTGGTGCAGCACGTGCAGCGCAGGCGAAGTGAACATGGAGCGTCTGCTTAGGCTCTATCCGTATCATATCCCATGCTTAAGAATATACATATTTAGGGAATTGCAGAAGAGATTTGGATGCAGCTAGCCCTCTTTGCAAGCGTCTCGTCCACTCAGTTCTAAGAGTAGCACGCTCCGGTTGCCCACGGTGGTCTCCAGAGAATCCAATCTCTTCGTGAGCTGCGCAGAGATGCGCTGAAGAGCATAGTCCAAGGACACCACGTGCTTCGTATTCAACGACTCCTATGCAAGCAGTGTGTTAGCTCAGAAAAACGAGGAGCCAAGAGTCTACTTTGTTTGCCTTCTTTAAAGCAGAACATCAGTTGGCTGGCCACGGTATGGACCTACTTTGTTTGACCGATCATGGTAAGACTGGCAGAAGGTTCACAAAGGGATCATTCCTAAGTTAATTTGTCCAGAACCAATAGGAGCAAGGACGCTGCTAGGAACAAAGGGCATCGCTACTAGGAGCGATCGGACGCTATTAGGGAGACGAGGCCAAAGAGCGCGGTGAAGGTTTGATGAATTCCTGGTGGTGACACCCTTCACCGACGCTTTGAGTGCCTTGGTGGCCCTCGTGACGCCTTCTCTGCTTGACTTGGCAATGAAGCCCATGGATGAAGGGTTATGTAAAGTGGTTAAGGGCCACGAGCATCCGAAGGCCATGTTTACATGGAAAAATGATCACATGGAAAGATAAACTCAGCGTTCGTCTTGGTCCAAGTCCAAGAACTGCCACGGTCCAAGTTCGTTTGAAGGCTTTCGGATGTCCTGCAATTGTGAGAGACCTGCAGTGAACTCATCAATCGAGAGCTCACCATCCTCGTCCACATCGAGCATTTCAAAGGCCTGCCAGAAATGGGCCAACCATGCATGGTACCCTGCTTGAAACAGGGTTTCTGGACAATAGTGATTCTTCTGCAAGGCCAAAAGAAGAATCATGGGCATATGAATGGCTTCAAGCCCAACCGTTCGAGGCTACCTTCTCCAGCTCTTGCAAGGGCAGAGTCACGCCAAGATCTTCCATCTTGGCCACAACCTCAAAAGTGTGAATCATGCTTGAACATGCCAAAGCCATGAAGACATCCGTACCGATGTTAGTCTTGATCTTTTCAGCTATTTGTTCAATCTTCTAGATCCTCAAGTAGCATGCTGTTTTGAATGCATGTACACATCGTGCACCTGCTCATCTTTGATGAGGGTTGCGAACTCTTCGTGGTCCAGCACTTGATTTCCTTGGTAATGTTTAGTTGGGATATATAAAACAAACAAACACACAGCGGTTCGTCTGCTTCCCAGTTGCCATCTGCATCGGCATTCACAAAGCAAACCTTGGATCACCACTCCGTCTTCGCACATATCTATATCTTATTTGTGACATACATCGTCAAGTATCATCTTCTTATCTATCTATACATATACATATACATATACATATACATACACATACACATACACATACACGTACACATATATGTATACATACAATGTATGTATGCATGTATGCGTGCATGGATGTATGTATGTCCCTTACCTGTTCATTCTGCCATTTGCCAGCATATGCTCCGTCCCTCAGGTCGATTCCAAACATTCGATTCCATCCGCCAGGTGTCTTTCAGGAAGTCCACAAACTCCTTGCGTCTTCGCTCTTGTGCCTGGACTTGAGAGATTTTGCTGGAAACATTCTTGGACATCTGTGTGGAACAACGCCGAAAGTTGTCCCTAGCTCAACAAATGACATGCGCCTCTTTTTGCTTTTCCTTCCGGTCTTGCGTCGCCTATTTCAGGTGTCAGACGTTCTTTGGCTGCACAAGCATGGACAAGCACAGACAAGCAATGTTCAATGAGTCCTGTTGACTCGGATGATTCTTGCCTGGATGACATTGTCTGATACCACTGCTGTCACCAGTGAAATCATTGTCCAGGCCTTGCAACAGGTCACAGCAAGGAGGAAAGCTAAACACAATCTACATCACCCACTTCCACAAAGGTCCATTCAGCAAGGAGACCGAGAATGCGATGAAAATCACGAAGAACATCCGCCACCAGAGGCCTCAAGGGCCCCAAGGAGAGACGTGTGGGTCATAGGATGTAATGAGAGACATGTGTTCCACCGGTGTAGTGCTTCCCAGAAGCTGTGATGCACGAGAGGTGCAGCAATGTCTGGCCAGGAATCCATGGTGGTCACCTGACAGAAACAGCAAATCACCGAGTGGTGTTTACAAATAAAGACAAGCTAGGTGTAATATGGGAATCCCTGAGCCTGGAAGAGCGAGAACATGGTGGACACGATGCTTCCAAAGTACTCGGCTTCCTCACCTGAACACAGTACTCCACTTCTTAAAACTATATATATATAATTGTAATTACATATATACAGTGTATGCCCCTTTCACCATACCATGGTCACGGTCTCGTTTCACCCCTTCGTCTTTTCAAACGGTGAAAGAAAGTGGAAAAGAGAAGTTCACAATACCGCTGACATCCACTGCCTGCTAAGTCCAGCTCTTGCTTTGTGTAGTTCCTGCGAGATCAAAACCCCGAGTCCGCACTTCAAAAGCAAAGTCAATCAAAAAGGTACTTTGTCCGAAAGCTACCTGGGATACTGTGGCCCTGACGTCAGCAACACGGCTACCAGGTAGACAATGAAAGTCAGGACGCCTCCAAACTGTTCTGTTTTGTGCAATGGATCATGGGTTTTTGGCCGCTCGATTCCAATCAAAAAGAGCTGAGCTGTGTCTCTACTTCGGCACAAGGCCAAGCGGCCAAAAATCCATGAGAGGGTGGCAAACATCTCCGATAGCGCTGTTGCGAAGCGATGGAGAGACTCGAAGAGGTAGAAGACCCGCAGTCCACGAGCTATTCGAGTGTAAAGCATCCACCTCAGGCGGTGTACCCTGGCATCGAAAATGATAACGGTCTTGCCAAAAACAGCCAGGGTACGAGGACATGTTGGATTGGAAAAAGAATATCATCACCAAATTTGCAACTCCCAAGATCACCTTAGAGAGGCCAAGTCTTCAGCTTCTGCAGCAACTATATTCATTGCAATCCATTCTCGGAAACTGATGGGCATTGACAATCGGTGCGTGTGTAAAAAGCCAAGATGCAAGTGCACCATCTATTACATATATGATGGTTTCCTCCCACGGGCAGCAGTTTGCAAGCGAAACGTCATTCTGACCCAACAAGAAGCATCAGCCAATCCAATGTCATACTTTCTCCATGGCCTCGAGACTGGACACATCTCCTCTGCCAGTTTCCGCACAAATGGCAAAAATGTCCGGACCGATCCAATAAAGCCGCAGAACAAATTCATAGCCTTGGAGGAGTCATGACTTCTGAGAACAATGACTTGGCTAAAAGTAAATCTAAACATGTGTGCTGTGTGCCTTTCTGGCGCGTTGGCAGGTTGTCTTTTCCTTCAGAAAAATACATTTGGAAAGCAACTCTGGTGTTTCAGAAGCCAAACAAATTGAACAGATACATATATATATATATAAGCGTTTCTGTGTGAAGACATGGTGTTTCTTCCTCCACTTGTTTCCTTCAGCCAGGTGCAGTAGAAGAGGGCGAAGAGAACTTCCGTCAGTCGCCAAAACGGCCAATCGAATCCATCTGTCTCGAGGCCAATCATCAGCATGTTGATGAAGACAACCCATCCCACCACATTCTTCCGAATGAAGATACCACCCTGGAAAATGCATGTCACGTGAAAATCATCTGGGCAAAGTTACATTTCATACAATCGGTTTACAGCCATTGAAGGAAAATAGTAAGAAGTTCAAAGTAAATTGGAAGAGAGCAGCAACCCAAAGTCACTTCAACCGTTACCATTGCTGAATTGAAAGCATCCCAAAAAGGTGCACTGCAGTGCACTGCTGACGTGAAGTAAGGTCTAGCTGCCTAGCTCTCTGTCCGCAAACCGACCTGCGGAAAGTGGCCCACGCTGCTCCGAAGGTGCTTGCGGCTGATGCGTGACTGGCCAGCATGTGCAACGCATCAGGCGACATGTACTGACACACCCTACATGCACAAGGCTGGCCTGCGTCTCATCCCGAAGCAAAGCAGAATAGTGGGTTGCCTGATGGTGCTGATCCTGAGCTCAGAACCAAGATGTCCGGATTGATGAGATGCAATGAAACCATCAAATTCGGCCGGCTAAACACATAAAAACAAACTCTGTTCCTTTATGTTCCTTCCCTAGTGGGGCTGTGCGAGCACCAAAATGCGTAGAATCAAAAGATTGAATCATTCCAGGAACCCGCTTGCAACTCTCAGCAAAGGAGTTTTCTGCATGCGTTCACATTAAACCCATTCGCCGAAGTCCATCTGTCATTAGACTTGTCGGTCGATTCTGGAGTTGCGTCACGGCACATGAAATAGTTGCTTCTGCTGCATGGACTCTCCACTGCCTCAGCCCGGGATGTTCAAAATGATGGGGTGGCCGAACTTGTTAATACGGCCTTTATATCAAGTTTAAACTTTCATGCTATGTCCGTGAACAAAAACACACGCACTGACACCATGTGCAATGTACAGGACCCAGGAACATGCGTGAGAGATCGGCGTCCATTCGTCACCCTCACGAGCTTCAGCCAAAAGCACACGTGAGTCAAGCCCCGGCCCTGGGCCTCAGTGCTTCGTCGCGAGTGTGAACCCAACACTGAATGTTTCTAGTAGGGTCCTTGTTCCTAGTAGTAAGAATGCTCCTAGTAGCGATGCCAGGAGCCCCTAGTAGTGATGCCCTTGCTCCTAGTAGCGTCCTTGTTCCCAGTAGTACAGCCAGGAGCCCCTAGTAGCGTCCTTGCTCCTAGCAACGATGCCAGGAGCCCCTAGTAGCGTTCTCGTTTCTAGTAGCTTTAAACACACGATGGTATTCTGTAGGCCCTTCATTTGAGCTTGCCACGAGGTATTCTGTGTGCTTCCAAGTCGAAAGCCATGCTTTGAGCCGCAGGCAGCCATTGTGCATCGCAAAAATACATCATATTATATATATATATATATGTATACAGTAGAAGACAGCCAGGTATCGAAGTATCTCGCAGCATGCTTGAATACAAAAGGCATACTGGGCATTGAGAATCTTGCAAAAAACGAATGAGGTTCGACTGCTTGTCTGAACACAAACAGCATCACCCTTGCAGCCGCACAACTCCTGCAAATCTTTGGGCAAGAGCTCCCGAAGCTTGTCCCGCAAAGCACCCAACGGCAAGCCTGCGAGGATTTCAGTGTGGTGCACTTGAATCACAGCGTCTGACGCCTGCGTAGCAATCAAGTACTCAATTGCCCAGCTGAAGAACTTCATCCATCTTCATCCGAGATGCTATCACGTGCACTTGCAGAAGTACTGCAAGTGCTCGCCAAGTGCGATGGTGATGACCCACTGATCCTCACTTCAATTGGTAAGCATCCCAAGGAGCTTCACCACACTCATTTAGTTGGAAAGCTCAGATCCAAACTTGTCTTGGCTTTCGTTGATGGCCTGAAGTTTGCAGGGGACATACATCAGCTGTTTGCTCGTTTGCAGCACCTCAAAAGCTTATCAGTAAGATCCGGTAAGAGCTTGGATTGGCAAATGAGGACTAGAAGGATCTTGAAAGCTACAATAAGTCACCTGGCACCAACTGAATTGAAGCTTGATAGACACTGGGTGTACTCTATTATTTGGTTCTTGCGAAACACGTTTAGCCGCTCTTACCAGGTTGTGGCCTCTCGACGGCCATGCCCAAGCCCTGCTGCAGCGTCAGCAGGCGGCATTTCCTCCAGAGCCGTTGAGTTTGCAGGGATGAGTCGGGCTGGCGCCGCTGACACTACTAGGAACAAGGACGCTACTAGTAACGAAGGGCATCGCTACTAGGCCACTAAGTACACACCCGGTCCTGAGGGCTGTGGTAGCCACTGCGGCCCTTCATACAGGCAGACATAGATGCAGATGGAAGCGAACTCACAGACGAGGGGCCTGGGCAAGGCCAAAAAGAATAACAAACAAGATATATATATATATAAAAAGCGGAAGGTAAGCCCTCTTTTAAAGGAGCATTACCTTCCTTTTTCCGTCTCTTGTTTCCAGCCAAAGCCTGGTCCTTTCGAATCTATTCCATCTGAGCAAAGCGGCTCCTCGGCGCTCTGTCATCCACCTGAATCGTTTCGGGGTTGATGCTTCCTCAACCAAGAACACCCACTTACTTCAAGTAACAAGAAGCTACTAGGAACAAGTGCATCGCTACTAGGAACAAGTGCCTTACTAGTAGTA